AAACAACAATAAAAATAGTAATAACAACAATATTTTTTTTTTAATTTGAAAGAAAGATATTTTTAAAAGTAGAGCGGAAATAAAAGAAAAATTCACATTTAACCTGTTAATACTTAGAAACTAATGTGGGCTGGATGAAATATTTAACTCACAAAAAGGTATTGCTGTAAACCATATAAAAAAAGTGTTGCATTCCTGATATAACATTAAAAAATCAAAACGATGCGGGATGAATTTAATAAAGCATGAAAAAAGACGTTGTTTGAAAAGGGATTCAATGTAAGTTTGACACAAACATTAAAAGTATACCGAATTAATTGCAAACAAAATATATGGAAGTAGTATCTACTTGAAATTCATAAAGACATAGAACAATTAGCTCTATCGATGTAAGATGTAGCATACGTTTGAATACATAAAGAAATAACACACGCCGCTGTATCAATGTACGATGTAGCATACATTTGAATACATAAAGAAATAACACACGCCGCTGTATCAATGAACGATGTAGCATACATTTTAATACATAAAGAAATAACACACGCCGCTGTATCAATGTACGATGTAGCATACATTTAAATACATAAAAAAATAACACACGCGGCTGTATCAATGTACGATGTAGCATACATTTGAATACATAAAGAAATAATACAAGCAACTGTATTAGTGTATGGTCTAGCATTCATTTGAACACATAAAGACAGACATAATACAAGCAACTGTAACAATGTTCGGTGTAGTATTCACGATACAATGATTTCAAATCAATCATGAATAAAATTATAAAGGTGTCCTTCGTATAGAATTGTAATGGTTTAAGTGCCAATAAATTAAGAAAAAAAAGACTTTAATTTTAAAATTTTGGAAAATGATATTTGTATTCTTACTGCATCCAGAACGGATGAAAATTCATTTGAATTGTTATATATAAGTAATGAATAATATTAAAACGGACTTATGGTTGTTAGAAACATTGTGATACAATCATAAGGAAAACCTGAAATGAAACAATTATTTTATAACGCTTACATAGCTACTTTTGATTATGGATGCATTAGTAACAAATCAGACCTATATAGAAAAACGAAATTACAATAATAACTGACACAATTAATTTAAAGAAATTCGAAAAAAAAACAACAACAACAATTCTTTTGAAATGTTTCAAAATCTAAAATGGTTATCCTTTCCATCTAGATGTAATAACTTACCTTGACTTGTGGAACATAAAGCTATGAATAAATTGACACCAGCAGATATTTCTGATCTATAATAAAACGTATTTACTATTAAAGATAAACGCAGAAAAAGACATCATGCATAAAAGACAAGAAAACATTATTTGAAACATACTTTTTTTTTCTATTATGGGGTTATGGAACACTATGGAACACTATTCCTTTAGAAATAAGAAATTCTTCTAAAAGTCTTAAATTGTTTCAATAACATTTCAAACATTTATTAATATCAATAAATGAATTATAAACCATATACCTATACTATAATATAAATTTATATCAGGTCTGTCTTCTTTGTTGGAGTAGATGTACTGAATGTTATAATAGTAGTAGGAATAATGATAATAATTGTTATTATACACATGTAGAAAAAATAAGATAACAAAAGAATTGAAGACATTTGAGTCGCGTCGCGACAAAAACCAATATAATGGGTTTGCGACCAGCATGGATCAAGACCAGCCTTCGCATCCGCGCCGTCTGATCAGGAGCCATGCTTCTCTACTTGTTATAGAGTTGGAAAGCGAACAGCATGGATCCTGATCAGACCGCGCGGATGCGCAGGCTGGTCTGGATCCATGCTGGTCGCAAACCCATTATGATGGTTTTGTCATGACGCGGCTCATTTTACATTGTTCATATGTTATGTATTTTATCGTTTTTATTTTAATACAACAACTCTATATTCGGCGACTGGAAACGAAGACACTAAAGGAGTAATAATAGGTGCTGCTGTAGGTGGTGTCATTCTCATGATTATAATAGTGGTACTTGTTGCTGCTGTGGTCCTCCTGGCAAGAAGGTAAAATACCAGAACAATAATACATTAAATGAAATAAATATACATTTTAATTAAATTGATCGAAAAATAAAATTATCCTCAACATCGAATGCAATAGGATGTTACAACATGTGACGTTATGCCTGATTGGTTTTGAAATTTATCAGTTGGAAAATTTTAAAAATTTCTTCAATATCCTGTTTGTTTTGAAAATTGTTGAAGCAATTGAATTCGACCAGACAAAACTTCCAACTCACTTCTTTTTGATAATTCTATAACCTTTCACACAATTCAATTAAAATTTCTAAAAAAGTTACACAGTATGCAGTCGAATAAATTACATGTTGAACGAATAAATGCTTGAGGGCATTCACGATTTACAGGTGTAAATTATTGAAGTAAAAATTATTAAGTCATATTTACTGACATAAACTTTTACGTTGGTAAAAATGTTTGTCGTAATGTTTCTAGCAAAACTTATGGATAAAATGGCAGCATATAGTTATTAAAATATCTCAATCACATTTACTCTGCATCAAATTTAATTTTACAAAAAAAAAATATCTTTAATTACAAAATGTTCATTTAAAAGAAAAACAACAAATTAATAATATATCATGCGTTTGCATAAAAGATGTTCTTATAATTATAACAATTAAAGGTTTTAGACAAATTCTAAAATTTGAAACCCAGTCTGCAATTATTATGTAATTTTGTTGTGATTAATGCTTCCGAGGGATTACTTTGTTTCCAGAGTTTTATACTTCACAACAACGGGTGTCAAGTGCCGTGTGGCGGCTGTGAAAAGTTGCCCCGTTGTTCACTTCAGTGTTGTTATATTTTCAATTATTGTTAATTAACCCTAAATGTATCCTGTGAAATGATTTATAAATGTTTAGGAGACATTTAAATGGTAATGAAGTTTGCAACAATCCTGGTGCTGCAAAGATTTTCTGGTGGTTGTTTATATACAAAAGTGAGATTTGAATAGTATATATTATGCAAAAACCTTTTGTAATTCTTTATGAAACTTGTAGACTCAAAAAATTAGAGACTGGCATCACTCCTTTGGGATCCAAGCACTTTCTCATTCTCTTTATTAGTATATAAATGCACTTTCCTTTCATGTAATATCTGTATTTTTATGTTTTATAAGGATGTGCCGACATCATAATTGCCGAATGATCACATAGTCAAATTAGATCCTGGAGTCAAATACTACAATGTATCAGCAAAAAAAGAAGTATTTTGTATTTTTTGAATGGAAATTAATTAACTTATTGACAAAGAAAGAAAAAACAGCAAAAAAAGAGAAAGAAACAAAAAAAACAAAAACATTTAAGATGGCCTTAAGGATTAGCTTGCGGAAAAGTCGCCATATGGCCTCTACTGTGTTGTGGGGACGTAAACCCCAACAAAAAAATATATGATGTACAACCCATCTCGAAATTCAGCGTTTAAAAACTTTAAATCTTCCAGCTGCTACTAAATTCAACTGAAGCACGAAATTTCATTGATATCACTTTTGAATTCCAATCTTCGGATTGCCTCGAAATTCAAACTACAGCCCGAATTAAAGCTTTGAGATGTTTTAATTTCAATCAAAGATCAACGTTAGTTCGAAATTAATCTTCAAAATATTTTAACTTTCGATCTCAGAGCTGGCTCGAATGTCAAAGTAAACACGATTTTAATAGATATCGATCTACGAGCTGACTCGAAATTAAAACCAGTTTCGAAATTCAAACCTGGCTGGGAATTCAAACCAAGCTCGAAATCGGCTATATTGTCGGGGTCCGATGTCAGTGCTCGCTTCTCGTTATTTAAGAAGCATAAATGTTCGTCTTTATTTAGAGCATTCCATTATTTTATTGCTCACTTAATACTTAGTCTTGACTGAATGCATTCAAGTCAAATACATTGAAGGGAGAGGAACCATACAAATTTTCTTTCGTTCTAATCCCTTTCAATTTAATGTAACATAAAATGTAAAATATGTAAAATATTGAAATAAATATGTTTAAACTAAATACATTGAAATATCAAAAGGTCCACGGTTTATATATCAAGTAAGTATTTAAATTTGATATCCTGGTGCGTAAAAATCAAGATTATGGTACAGATTTAGGTAAACATGAGTTAAAAGCATAATCATCTTGTTATGATTTTACCAATATTCACTCTTACACGTGAATTAGTTCGCTATTGCTGAAACATATACTATATCAGCAAGATGCCAACATTTTTTTTATACAGTAAACTGACATAAAGTCAGCGGTTATCCAAACACATTTTTGTTGTTGCTTTTTTGTGTTTCACTTGTCTTTTCAATGTTAATACAATGATATGAGGTTGGTAATATATTGTTATATTAAAAAAGTTAAGTTATAATACTTTTCAAATGAAGGTGTGTTACAGTCAATGTGATTTTATGAAAGTTCTCAATGATGCGGAATCAATTATCCAGTACGAATCTTATACAACATTTACTTTTAAATTAGTTTTGGTTGGTTTTGTAAATCTAACAGTTACTGAACCATAAGCTACTTCCTTATTTAACAAATCTTATTTAAAATCATAGCGGAACGTTTGTCCCACTAAATGTGGTGATGATATTTTCTTATATTGATAAATGATATATGACAAATCTGAGTGTTGATAGTAATCATTCAATTATCAAAGACTAATTGATTGTTTACACGTGATTTACTCCAGGTAAATATGAGAATTCTTCATTTAAATACATACATTTTTTCTCTCTCTTTTTTTCTTAATAATTACATATGATAGTTATTGATTAAAATTCTATGTTTCTACCACTTATTATACCTCTAACTTAAACATTTGTAAGTCCATTTCGAAATCGTCGCGTATCTTTATCTAAATTGTTAAAAGATGCCTATATAACCACGTTGTTTATTTGAAAAGATTATGTCATATAACCACGTTGTCTAATTGAAAAGAAAGTGTCATATAACCACGTTGTCTAATTAAAAACAAAGAGTAATATAATAATGTTGTCTAATTGAAAATCAAAGTGCTATATAACCACGTTGTCTAATTGAAAAGAATGTGCTATATAACCACGTTGTCTCATTGAAAAACAAAGTGTTATATAACCACGTTGTCTTATTGAAAACAAAGTGTTGTATAAACACGTTGTTTATTTGAAAAGAAAGTGATATATAACAACGTGTCAAATTAGAAACAATGTGCTATATAACCACGTGTGTAATTGAAACATGGCATTTTATGTGTGTTGCGACTTCAAATCAATCAGTTTCATGTTATGGATAAATATGGATAAATATTGATGTCATTTTAGGCCTTTTTTATTCTGAACACATTGAGCAAATGAATGGTGGAGATATAAAAATGAAGAATACTTTGCTTGGACTAGTTTTACTTTTATGTGACACAGGTATGTTTTAAATATTATTATAATCAGCATATGACTACTTTTATATAACATACCTAACAGCATACAGGTTCACTTTCGTGAATAAACATTTCTAAATTATAAGTAAAACGTTATCATGTAATTTCAATAAATTTACACTTGCGATGATTATTTTATATCATTTGACTCTGATGTACACATTTTGTATTGAGCAATGGTGTATAATATCAAATAACAATGTTTTGTAACTATAACATGCATGAAGAGAAATGATAATGCATTTTCGACTAAACACTTGAAGATTGTATATGTATATCTACGCTAAGGTAAAATAACTACTATTACACTTTATTTCCCATTTTCACAAACTTTAAATATAACAGAAAAAATATTTTATATATATACAATCACATTCATTACATGTTACTCGGTTGGTATGCGTGCTTTATCATTAGATTAAATAACTCAATTAAAAGCTTGCACACACCACTCCCTACATATTTTATATGTTCATTTACAAATTTATCTTGACTTCTACATTTATTTATTTTCAAAGAGTCTATCGCAGATATTGTCATTCCACAGAATGTTCTTGTGAGAAAAATAATTCAATACTTTGACTTTTAATCAGAATTTTTATCACATGTTTATGAAAAATTTAAATAAGTCAAAAGAGAGTATCAAGTTATATGAAATGTTATACATTGTTGTTTAGAAGCCGTAACAAAATAATATTCTTCACTTTTTCCCTTACATCTTTAAGTTCTAGCATTGAATGAATGTGGCTGGTGTAACTGTTGTATAAATGGTACTTCAAGATGTGAATACAACATCAATGTAGACGCTGTTTGCTTGGATGGTTGTATTGACGGGTATCATAGTGACAGTTGTATACATGCTTGTAGTAACAATTGTGTGACATGTTCTGGTGTAAGCAGTTGTAACACATGCAAAAATGGCTACTATATTGGTCGTAATCCTGATAATAATCAATATAAAGACGATTGTAGTTTATCGTGCTCAGACAACTGTATTTCATGCGCTTCATATTTTAACTGTAGCATATGCAATGATGGATATTACAATGGGAGACAATACCCATCCAGCGATGTTGTAACCTACAACTGTCGACATGCTTGCAGTAATAATTGTGCAACATGTTCTGATGTAAGCACATGTCACACGTGCAAATATGGCTACTATATTGGTCGTAATCCGGAAAGGAATCAATATAAAGATGATTGTAGTTTATCGTGCCCAGACAACTGTATTTCATGCACTTCATATTTATCTGTAGTATATGCAATGATGGATATTACAATGGGAGACAATACCCATCCAGCAATGTTGTAACCTACAACTGTCAACATAAATGTAGAAATAATTGTATATCATGTACATCGTACGATGTTTGCACACAATGTAAAAATGGGTTTACAGGTGATCTATGTGAGACATGTGAGGTAGGAAAGTACGGATGCGTTGATTCTTGTTCTGTAGGTTGTGAAAATAAAAACTGTACTTATACTGGGGAATGCCCAAGCTGTAAGGAGGGGTTTACCGGGGTTAAATGTGATAGATGCATCGACGGTAAGTTCGGGAATCTCTGTGACCAAAACTGTCCACTTACCTGTTTAGCATGTTATTCAATGACAAGTTGTTCCGCATGTATTGAAAAGCACTGGGGAAACAGCTGTCAACAATGTCCCACAAACTGTTTAAATTGCTCTTCCAATAACATTTGCTCATCATGTGAGAAAGGATTCCATGGACAAATATGTAATAAACAATGCAATGTTAACTGCCTTCATGGTCGCTGTGACCTATTGTCTGGAAACTGCAATGACGGATGTGTCGCTGGCTTTTACGGGAACCTTTGTGATATGAAATGCGGCAATGACTGTGTGAATTTAACATGTGACAGAGTACATGGGACTTGCAAGACAGGACACAACGGTAAAATGTTTTCTATTTAATAAACAATATATTATCTTACACAAACTTACACATTAAGCAAGCAAGTAAGTGAATGAGTCAATAAGAATAATTATGATAAGAGTAAGTATAACAATTTTACCGATTAAAACAATAATAACAATAGTAATAACAACAATATTTTTTTCAATTTGAAATAAAGATAACATGTTATTAAATAACTATACGTCATTAGTCCTATAAAAAATTTACCTGCCACGTTCAATAACACAATAGCCTGCCTTAAAACAGGGCCAATATCCATATCACTTTTTCGGCCCCGGGCCGAAAAGTGATATAGATATAAAGTCCGCATTTGAAGTAATTTGATTGGCTAATAAAGCAGGGATAAAAAAAATGATATAGATTTCTGCAAGAAACTGGAAAATGGCAGCCATTTTGTTTTATCTTGGATTTTTTATTAACATTAAGGACCCGAAACAAATTATTTGAAACATACTTTTTATCATTCCACAACGGGGTTATGGAACACTATGGAACATTATTCTTTTAGAAATAAGAAATTCTAAAAGTCTGAAATTGTTTCAATAACATTTCAAACATTTATCAATATCAATAAATGAATTATAGACCATATACCTATACTATAATATAAATTTATATCAGGTATGTCTGTTTCTTTGTGGGAGGAGATGTACTGATTGTTATACTAGTAGTAATAATGATAATAATTATTATTATTATACATATAGATAAAATAAGTTTACAAAAGAATTGAAGATATTGCACATTTTCATATGTTATGTATTTTATCGTTTTATTTAATACAATAGCTATAAATTCGGCGACTGGAAATGAAGACACTAAAGGAGTAATAATAGGTGCTGCGGTAGGTGGTTGCATTCTTTTGATAATAATAGTGGTACTTGTTGCTGCTGTGGTCCTCCTGGCAAGAAGGTAAATACAAGAACAATAATACATATAATAAAATAAATATTTGTTTTAAGTTATGCCTTCAGTTTTTATCCTTAATTCAATAAATCGGAAATAAAATTATCCTGAACAACGGACGAATATAAAGCAATACATAGACCGTGACAATATTTTACGTTAGGTCTGATTCGCTTTGAAATTTATCACTTGGAAAAAATCTTTAATATTCTGTTATTATTGAAATTGTTTTTAGATGACTTTTAATTACCAAAACCTTCAATTCACTTTGACACAAATTTGACACAATTCAAATTCAAATTTCTAAAAATGTTATACAGTATGCAATCTTATCAATTACGCTTTGAACGAATAAATGCTTAAGGGCATTCACGATTTGCACGTGTAAATTATTGAAGTAAATTGTTTCATTCCATATTTATATTTTAATTTTTACTTTGGTAAAAAATGTTTGTCGTAAAGTTTATATAGAAAATTTTCTTTAGAATACAAAATGTTTATTTACAAGATGTTCTTATATAACAAATCAAAGGTTTTAGATAAATTTTAAAATTTGAAACGTGAAGAAATTTGTAGCATCATATTTTGTTTCAGGACATTTTACTCTAAAAATAACAGAGATATATTTTGCAATACCACTTTCAAGAATCGACCTTAAGATAAGGGAAGCATGTATACTTTTAATTTTGACATAAGTTTTACATAAATATACATTATTTGGTACCTATCAGATATTTTTCGGTTTGGGTATTTGCTAGAAAGGAATAACTTTTTCAGCAAACAGATCCATTTCCTAATCAAATTCACAGATTCAAATCGGTTGATGGTCACGCAAGATATTAACAGAAATCGCTGAAATGTGACTATCAAAATCCAAAATGATTGAGCGAATATCAAGTTTTTGTTAACTTTAAATTATGCAACTTGTTTAGAAATGATTGCGTAGTACTTTAAAATTTATTTATGTACAGTACAATAAAGAAATATAGATAATTATTATCTGCGAGATGATGAAAAATTATTAATAAATCGTTTTAATCAACGTAAAACAAATGCCTGAAATTGTTTCAACAATGCTGTTAAACGTTCATTTTTAATGGTCCAACCGACTTATTTCGTCTTAATTGAGTCTGGGAAATACATAACCCTACCTTATATAAATTATTCTTTCTTTTCAAAATTCCAATTGGATTAATAAATTTGAATAATTCCCATAGGATAAATTCCCAGTAGAAAATATTGAGAAAAAAAAATCGAATAGGAAAAAATCCAGTTCCAACCGGATTTTTTTTCCCAGTTAAAATAAATGGAAAAAATCTAGTTAACGCTATTCAACAGGAAAGCACACTAAAATACATACATAATATTATGGCGAGGCATTTCACAATTAAATAAAAAATCAAAAAATCTGATTGAATAAATAGACAATGCCGCAAAATAATTCGATTGGAATTTTAATTTGTCCGGGTGGGTGACAATTTTCCGGATGGATTCAGCTGAAATCCGCCCGGACAAATGTTTTAAAGTGTAAATTTAGACGAGAAAGCAAATAAATAAAGCTTAAATTAAAGTCAATAATTGTTAATTAACCCTTAATTTATCATGTGAAATGATTTATAAATGTTTAGGAGACATTTAAATGGTAATGAAGTTTGCAACAATCCTGGTGCTGCAAAGATTTTCTGGTGGTTTGTAAACAAAAGTAAGATTTGCCTATTATATATTATGCAGAAAACTATAGTTATTCTTTATGAAACTTGTAGACTCAAAAGATTAGAGAATAGCAGAACTCCTTTGGAATCCAATAAAGACCTGGGCTACTACAACATTAATAATGCCTTTGTTGGGGGTAGGTGGTTTATATATTAACTACCTTTTTAACTTTTGTTTTTTTCTGAATTACACAAACAAACTTTATTATTATTGTATCATATTTTTGAATCATAAATTTGTTTAATTATAGTTTACATGTCAAACAAATCAAATGCAATGCACGATATTTTCAACAGATGTATAGGTACGGAGGGAAATTAACCGTAGAATCGCAGTATATTCAGCAAAATTTTAAAAAAGAAATCAATATAATGGCATACGTATACTGAACATTATACAATTTAAATAAAGAAAATCGAATGAGAATTGATAAAAACAGGCAGTTTTATAGATAGAAAGACGCAATTCTGCCACCGCCGATAGGGGGCGCTTTTGGGTTATATTAACGCTCTTAAAATAAAGCTGCGGAATTAAAACCTACCTCTCAACCTGTTTGCATACCAATAATAAAGATCTGAGATGTCCAATTTTGGTCGGAAAGTAGCGAGTTACCTTTCGACATACATATATTTTTGTGATATAGCTCAATTGCTATGGAAAGCCAACGTTTCATCATATTTTATATCTTGGTTAAAGTTGGGTACGATTTGTATCAAACTATAGTAAGAAATATGTTAACTTAGATTCAATTCTTTATTGAATTTAAAAGTGTGCAGAATGTGATTTTATGTACGGAAACTTAAACATAATTGTAACCATTGCAGCCAATACTGACACAGACACGAGACAAGCTGACGTTATCCAACCTACAACTGTGTATGAAAGTTTAACCACTGCTTGTTCAAACCGGTTCGCTGATTATAGTTCTCTACAGCTACAGGTAATATTTTACGATTAAACACATTCTGTTAGATCATGTTAATAACATTCAATAAATCGTTTAGTACTTTTATTCATTGTGCATGCGATCATAATGCTAATTAAAAATTAAAGGTATGTTTTGATAAAAGAAATAACATTCAATAAATCGTTTAGTCTTTCTATCAATTGCACATGCGAGCATAATGCTTATTGAAACTTTTACGAAACTTAAGAACTCTCTCTTTCTCTTTATTAGTATATAAATGTATTCCACTTTCCTTTCATGAAATATCTGTATTTTTTTTTTGTTTTACAATGATGTGCCGACACCAGAATTGCCGAATGATCACACAGTCCAATTAGATCCTGGAGTCCAATACTACAATGTATCGGCAAAATAAAGAAGTATTTTGTAATGTTTTGAATGGAAATTAATTAACTAATTGACAAAGAAAGAAAAACAGCAAAAAAACAACAACAAAAAAAACAACAAAACAACAACAACAACAACAACAACAAAATTAAAGATGGTCTCAAGGATTACTTTGCAGATTGTCTTTGAATGTTTGTGGATTAGTCACAAAACTTAAATGCCATGAATTTCTCACTTTTATCAATAACTATGATATTATAGGTCTACAGGAAACTAAAACAGATGATACTGATGTAATTAATGTTCCTGGATTTTTAGTTCATATGTTTAATAGAATAAAGCTTTCAAATTATCGATCAGGTGGAATGGCATTATTGATTAAAACACATTTAGCACCATATGTTGATGTTGAGAGTAATAACAAATGTAATCTGATTAAATTGTTCACAATTTCAAATGAAATATACGGTTCAAATTGTAGTTCTCATGTAGAGGATCTAAAATGTGGAATTGTATATATACCGCCAGTTAGTGCGAAAAATTCTCACAGTGAACCTTTTTTGATATACAAAATGAAATATTTAGATATTTTATAAACATAAACATTTTCTGTTGTTTGGTGATTATAAAGCACGATGCCGTAGTTTAAAAGATTTTACGCCTGTTGACTTATTTATTTCTAACATGTGCGATTTATAATATGTTGAAACCGAAGAAAATGAAATAATGAAAAATTTTGAGCTATTTGATGTACCTGTAAATAGAATTTGTATAGATAATACTGTAAATCATTATGGAAATCAGTTGATTGAACTATGTAAAAATAACAATATGTTTATATGGAATGGTAGAGTTGGGGTCCAAAATTAACATGTAAGAATTCGATTACTGTTGATTATTTTATATCATCATCATTTGTTTTTGAGAATGTTTTAAATTTTAAAGTACATGATTTCTGTAGCTTATACTCTGATGTTCATTCCGACTTAGAAGCAGTGATAAGTATCAGGCCTAAAAACAATTTTTGTATTCCTTATGAAATATTGTTTGAACCATTAACTCTTAAAACTAAATTATAGGATAACAAGAATGCCCATACATTTTCCGAAAATCTTGACCTATCTAAAATCTCTGAATTGAATAAATGCTTGATGAAGTATTAGAAAAAAGCATAGTTGTACAGAACGACTTAGATGAAAAAGTTTCTGACATTTCCACTCTGTTTAATAATTGTTCTAAACAGTCATTTGGAGAGATAACTTAATATTCACTCTTGAAAGAATAAGTTCAGTGTGTAGTTTTTGTTTTTGTTTGATTCGGGTTTTACGTCACACCGACACAGTATAGGTCATTTGGCGACGTTTCAGCTTTATTGGCGGAGGAAGACCTCAGTTGCCCCTCCGTGCATTTTTTCAGGCACGAACGGGCACCTGAGCACCGTAAGCTAGCCTAGCTGGATAGCTTCCTCACATGATAGAATCTAAAGTCCCTGTCGGGGATTCAAACCCACAGCGGTGAGACGCAAGTGGTTTGAAGTCAACGACCTTAACCACTCGGCCACGGACGCCCCCAGTGTGTAGTGAATCGCTATTGCTGTAACATATACTATATGAGCATGATGCAGATTTTTTTCTTTTACAAGATGAAACAAATCATTTTTGATATACTTTATACTTACATAAGGCCAGCGGTTAACCGAACACTTAATTTGTTTTTGTTGTTGTTGTTGCTTTTTGTGTTTTTTCTCTGACTTTTTAATAATAATATTATGATCATATGAGGCTTGTGATATATTCAAAGCATGTGAAAAGGAATAATTAAGATAAACATGTAATACTTTTCATATGAAGGTGTGTTACAGTAAAGATGATTTAATGAAAGTTCTCAATGATGCGGAATCAATTATCCAGTATGAATCTCATACAACATTTACTTTTAAATTAGTTTTGGTTGGTTTTGTAAATCTAAAATTTACTGAACCATTAGCTACTTCCTATTTAACGAATTTTATTTAAAATCATAGCAAAACGTTTGTTTTGCTAAATGTGGTGATGATATTTTATTATATTGATAAGTGATATGTGAAAAATCTGAGTGTTGACAGTAATCATACAATTATCAAAGACTAATTGATTGATAACACGTGATAAACTCCAGGTAAATATGAGATTACTACCTTTAAATGCATACTTTTAATCTCTCTTCTTTTCTTAATACATGTAATTACATAAGATATTTATTGATTAAATTCTATGTTTCTCTTCCACTTATAATACCTCTACCTAAAACATTTGTAAGTCCATTTCGAAATCGTCGCGTACCTTCAATCTTTATTTAAATTGTTATAAGATGCCTATATAATCACGTTGTTTATTTGAAAACAAAGTGTCATATAACCACGTTGTCTAATTGAAAAGAAAGTGTCATATAACCACGTTGTCTAATTTAAAACAAAAAGTAATGTAATAATGTTGTCTCATTGAAAAACAAAGTGCTATATAACCACGTTGTCTTATTGAAAACAAAGTGTTGTATAAACACGTTGTTCATTTGAAAACAAAGTGTTATATAACAACGTGTCAAATTATAAACAATGTGCTATATAACCACGGGTCTAATTGAAACATGATCTTTCGTGTGTGCTGCGACTTCAAACCAACCGCTTTCATGTTATGGATAAATATTGATGTCATTTTAGGTCTTTTTTATTCTGAACACATAAGCAAATGAATGTTGGAGATATAAAAATGAAGAAAACTTTGCTGGGACTAGTTTTACTTTTATGTGACACAGGTATGTTTTAAACATCATTATAATCAGCATATGACTACTTTTATATTACATACCTAACAGCATACAGGTTCACTTTCGTGTTTAAACATTTCTAAATTATGAGTAAAACGTAATCATGTAATTTCAATAAATTAATACTTGCGATGATTATTTTATTTCATTTGACTCTGATGTACACATTTTGTATTGAGCAATGGTGTATAACATCAAATAAAAATGTTTTTTTTAACTATTACATGCATGAAGAGAAATGATAATGCATTTTCGACTGAACACTTGAAGATTGTATATGTATATCTACGCAAAAGTAAAATAAATGTAATTACACTTTATTTCCCATTTTCACAAATTCTAAATATAAAAGAAAAAAATTATTTTATATATACAATCATTTACATGTTACTCGGTCGGTATGCGTGCTTTATCATTAGATTAAAGAACTCCATTGAAAGCTTGCCCAACCACTCCCTGCATATTTTGTATGTTCTTTTACAATTTTATCTTGACTTCCACAGTGATTTATTTTCATAGACTCTATCGCACATATTGTCACGCCGCAGATTGTTCTTGTGAGAAAAATATTTCAATACCAATTTTGATCAGAATTTTTATCATATGTTTATGAAAAATTTAAATAAGTCAAAAGAGAGTATCAAGTTATTTATAATGTTGTATATTGTAGTTAAGAAGCCGTAACAAAATAATATTTTTTCACTGTTTCCCTTACATCTTTAAGTTCTAGCATTGATCTATGTGATAATTGTGAGGTAGGGAATAACGGGAGTGTCGACTGCGTTAATTCGTGTTCTGTAGGTTGTGAAAATAACAAGTGTACTTATACTGAGGGAATGTCCTAGGTGTAAGGAGGGGTTTACCGGGGTTAAATGTGATAGATGTATCGACGGTAAGTTCGGGAATCTCTGTGACCAAAACTGCCCACATACCTGTTTAGCATGTTATTCAATGACAAATTGTTCCGCATGTATTGAAAAGCACTGGGGAAATAGTTGTCAACAGTGTCCCGTAAACTGCTTAAATTGCTCTTCCAATAGAATTTGTTCATCATGTGAGAAAGGATTTCATGGACAAATATGTAATAAACAATGCAATGTTAACTGCCCTGATGGTCGCTGTGACCTATTGTCTGGAAACTGCAATGACGGATGTGTCGCTGGCTTTTACGGAAACTTTTGTGATATGAAATGCAGCAATGACTGTGTGAATTTAACATGTGACAGAGAACATGGGACCTGCTTACAAGGATGCAAGGCAGGATACAACGGTAAAATGTTTTCTATTTAATAAACAGAATAACATCTTACACAAACTAACACAGTAAGCAAGCAAGTAAGTGAATGAGTCAATGAGAATAATCATGATAAAAGTAATTATAAAAATTTTACCGATTAAAACAACAATAACAATAGTAATAACAACAATATTTTTTTTTAATTTGAAATAAAGATATTCTTTTTAAATTAGAACAGAAGTAAAAGAAAAGCTCACATTTAGCCTGTTTATACTTAGAAACTAATGAAGGCTGGATGACATATTGAACTCACAAAAAGTTATTGTTGTAAATAAAAAGAAGTGTTGCATTCCTGATATTACATTAAAAAATCAAAATGACGCGGGATAAATTTAAAAAGCATAAAATAAGGAAGTCATAACAAAAGCACCTGTATCAATGTATGGTATAGCATTCATTTTAATACGTAAAGACATCACACAAGCAACTGTATCACTGTATGGTGCAGCATTCATTTGAATACATAAAACATGAAACAAGCACCTGCATCAATGTTCGATATAGCATTTACGATACAATAATTTCAAATATGTCATGAATAAAATGATAAAGGTGTCCTTCGTATAAAATTGTAATGGTTTATGTGGCACAATATATATAGAAAAAAAGCTTAAAATGATATTTATATTCTTACTGCATCCTGAACGGTTGAAAATTCATTTGAATTGTTATATATAAGTAATGAATAATATTAAAACGGAATAATGGTTGTTAGAAATATTGTGATACAATCATAAGGAAAACCTGAAATGAAACAATTATTTTATAACGATTACATAGCTACTTTTGATTATGGACGTATTATATGTTCTCAAAGTAACAAATCAGACACATATAGAAAAACGAAATTACAAAAATAACTGACACAATTAATTTAAAGAAATTAGAAAAAAAAACGCCAACAATTCTCTTGAAATGTTTCAAAATCTAGAAAATTATAATTTCCATCTAGATGTAATAACTTATCTTGACTTGTGGTGTGTAAAGCTATGAATAAATTGACACCAGCAAATATTTCTGTACTTACTGTTAAAGATCAACGTAGAAAAAGACATCATGAAAAAGACATCATACATAAAGGACCCGAAACAAATTATTTGAAACATACTTTTTATCATTCCACAATGGGGTTATGTAACACTACGGAACATCATTCCTTTAGAAATAAGAAATGATAAAAGTCTTAAAGTGTTTCAATAACAATTCAAACATTTATTAATATCAATAAATGAATTATAGACCATATACCTATACTATAATATAAATTTATATCAGGTCTGTCTTCTTTGTTGGAGAAGATACACTGATTGTTATACTAATAGTAATAATGATAATAATTATTATTATACACATGTAGATAAAAAAAGTTAACAAAAGAATTAAAGACATTGCACATTTTTCATATGTTATGTATTTTATCGTTTTATTTAATACAACAGATATAAATTCGGCGACTGGAAATGATGACACTAAAGGAGTAATAATAGGTGCTGCTGTAGGTGGTGTCATTCTCCTGATTATAATAGTGGTACTTGTTGCTGCTGTGGTCCTCCTGGCAAGAAGGTAAAATACGAATACAATAAAACATTAAATGAAATGAATATATATGTTTTTAATTATGCTTTCAGTTTTTTTCTTATCCTTAATTCAAATGATCGAAAATAAAATTATTCTAAACAACAGACAAATAAAACGCATGTCATAGAATGCTACACTATTTTCTGTTTCCCTTTGAAAATTTTATCAGTTGGAAAAATTCTTTAATAATTTGTTCTTTCTGAAATTGTTTTTAGATGACACAATTGAATTTTACCAGACAAAACTTCCAACTCACTTCTTTAAACTTTAATAATTCTTTAACACAACTCAATTATAATTTCTAACAATGTTACACAGTATGCAATCTAATAAATTACATGTTGAACGAATAAATGCTTGAGGACATATACGATTTGCACGTGTAAATTAATGAAGTAAAATTTATCATGTCATATTTACTGACATTAACGTTTACGTTGGTAAAAATGTGTGTCGTAAAGTTTCTAGCAAAACTACAGATACGTATAGAAAACAGTGCACGGAAAATCTGCTTGGATTATACGATATCTGCGGCATATCGACACTTTATAACGCATATAAAATGGCAGCATATTGTTATTATTATCAAAATCCAAAGTGATTGAGTTAAAGCGAATATCAAATTTTTCAAAATTATCAAACTTTAAATTATGCAACTTGTTTAGAAATGATTGCGTGGTACTTTATAATTTATAAATGTACAGTACCATTAAAAAATATTGATAATTATTATCTGCGAGAAGATAAAACATTATTAATACATAATTTTAATCAACGTAGAACAAAAGTCTAAAATTGTTTCAACAGTGCTGTTAAACGTTCATTTTTTGTGGTCTAACCGACTCATTTCGTTTTTATTGAGTCTGGGAAATACATAACCCTACCTTATATAAATTATTCTTTCATTTCAAAATTCCAATTGGATTAATAAATTTGAATTAATTCCGATAGGATATATTCCCAGTAGAAAATATTAAGAAAACAATCCAGTAGGAAAAAATTCCAGTTGGAGGCATTCCAATCGGAATTGTTTCCAGTCAAAATAAATGGAAAAAATCCAATCGGATTTTCCGAAAAATGCTCAAATTAACGCTATTTCAACAGGAAAGTACCTTAAAATACACACTTAGCATATGGTAAAACATTTCCACAATTTAAATAAAATAAGAAAATCTAATTGAATAAATAGACAAAGCCGCAAAATAATTCAATTGGAATTTTAATGTTTCCGGGTTGGCGACATTTCTCCGGATGGATTCAGCTGAAATCCGCCCGGACAAATTTTTAAAGTGTAAATTTAGAGGAGAAAGCGAGTAAATCAAGCTTAAATTGTAGTCAATTATTGTTAATTAACACTAAATTTATCATGTGAAATGAGTAATTAAAGTTTAGGAAACTTTTAAATGGTTTTGACGTTTGCCACAACCCTATTGGTGCAAAGATATTCCGGTGGCTAGTAATATAAAAAAGTGAGATTTGCCTAGTATATAATATGCAGAAACCTTTTGTTATTCTTTATGAAACTTGTAGACTCAAAAGACTAGAGAATAGCAGCCCTCCATTGGGATCTAATAAAGACTTGAGCTACTACAATATTAATAATGTCTTTGTTGGAGGTAGGTAGTTATTACAAAAAAAATCTTCTTTTGATCATTGTATCATAATTTTGAATCATATTTTGTTTTTAATTATAGTTTACATGTCAAACAATTCAAATGCAATGCACGATATTTTCAACAGATGTATAGGTACGGAGGGAAATCAACCATAGAATCGCAGTATATTCAGCAAAATTTAAGAAAGACATCAGTATAAAGGCATACGTCTACTGAACATTATAAAATTTAAAAGGAAAATCGAATGAGAATTGATAAAAACAGGCAGTTTTATAGATAAAAAGACGCAATTCTGCCGCCGCCGCTAGGGGGCGCTTTGATGTCATATTATCGCTCTTTCTTTACGAAATAAAGCTGCGGAAGGAAAGCTTACATATTAACATGTATGTATACCAAAAATCTCCAACATCTGAGATGTTGTCCAAAAAGTAGCCTGCTACCCTAAAACATAAATATATTTTTGTGATAAACCTCTATGGAAAGCCAACGTCTCATCATATAGTTTATATCTTGCAATTTGTATCAAACTATAGTACTTAAGAAATATGCTAACTTAGATTCCATTCTTTATTGAATTTCAAAGTGTGCAGAATGTGATTTTATGTACGGAAACTTATACATAATTGTAACAATTGCAGCCAATATCGACACAGACACGAGACCAGCTGACGTGAACCAACTTAGAAATGTGTATGATACCGACACAGACACGAGACAAGCTGATGTTAATCAACCTACAACTGTGTATGAAAGTTTAACCACTACTGATGTAAACCGGTTCACTGATTATAGTTCTCTACAGCTACAGGTAATATTTCTAAAAAGTTTACGATTAAATACATACTGTTAGCTTATTTTAGTTCTTTGAAGTTATAGGTATGTTTTAATAAAAAAGGATAGATCATGTAAATAACATTCAATAAATCGTTTAGTCTTTTTATCAACTGTGCATGCAAGCATAATGATTATTGAACTATTACAAAACTTAAGAACTTTCTCATTCTCTTTATTAGGATATAAATGTATTCCACTTTCCTTTCATGAAATATCTGTATTTTTTTTGTTTTACAAGGATGTGCCGACATCAGAATTGCCGAATGATCACACAGTCAAATTAGATCCTGGAGTCCAATACTACAATGTATCGGCAAAATAAAGAAGTGTAATTTTTGTATGGAAATTAACTAATTGACAAAGAAAGAAAAACAACAAAAGAAAAAAAGAACAAAAAACTAAAAAAAAAAAAAGAAAAAAACATTAAAGATGGTCTCAAGGATTACTTTGCGGATTTGTATATAATGTTCAAAACATAATATTTTGTATTAACAAAACGACGTGGTCTCGTAAATTTCGTGTAAAAATCTGGAAACAAAGTGATCCCTCGGAAGCATTAATCACAACAAATTTACATGAAAATTGTAGACTCGGTTTGATTGAGTCTGTACATGAGGTATAATGAATGAGTGCAACATCCCTCACGCCCCCTAGCACCGGCTTGAGCGGTATTCAAGACTCAACACTGAATAGAGCTGGCATCAATGATCCCGAACGACCAGAAAAATATAACAACACCAATTTTGTAAACAAAAATGTCACCTTGGAGATTTTTCAGGATTTTCCAATAAAGTGAAACAGTAAAGTTTGATTTCTCTACGGGAAGTCTCTGTTCTTTATTTTGCGTAGCGATTGCCGAGGTACTTAACAGCAAAACAGTATCAGTATGACATCAGTATGTATATCAAAGTTGTGAAATAAAAAACCACACCGAGATATAATCAAATGATTTATCCACTAATGCTGCATAAACATGTATATATTAAAAAAATAACAAAATTTACCGTACGGTAAACCACAGGCGTTATAAATTATATATAGTAAACGGGCGCTGGATAGTAATTTTGTTTTTGATAATCAAGGGGGCTATGACCAGTAATGACAAGACAAATTTCATTAAAAATCTTTAAACTTTGTGAAGTTGACAGCACATAAAAAGTGAGTATTTTCCCCTACATCTAAAACATAACCCCTTAGGATATTTCCAATAACTTATTTATATATTTATTTATTTATTTATTTATTTATTTGTTTATTTATTTATTTATTTATTCGTAAAAGATAGTGATCCAGTTCATCGCGAAATCGGGACAGGATATCTTTATTTTATTTATAACGGTATCTCCTGCTTCTTGGTGCGATTTTTATTTTTCTATTGAAAAGTACGCTATAACTGAAAATTAATAAATAATCATTCAAATTTCATTAAAATTTAATAAATTTGGAAGCGTCTGTATGAAATCTTAAAAGTTCAGCATTTTAAAAATTAAAGACCACGATAATGAAAAAAGACATGCAATGATCTAAGGAAGTGCTTCTTATGTATTTCCGAAAGTTTTCTTGTTTGTAATATCCTTTATTTTCTTTATTCTGCCAGGCTACCAACTTGACCAATTTCAAAGCGTCAGAATAAAATCTTTTAAGTTCAACATCTTAAAAATAAAGATCACGATAGAAAAAGGCGTGAGATCTAAGAAAAAGCTATACTTATGTATTTCCGACCGTTTTCATGTTTGTAATATCCTTTTCATTAGGCTGCTAGGATGTTAGGATTTCAACTTGAGGCTGCTAGGCCGCCTGACTGCCAACTTTACGAACATGATTTTGTTAAAACTACATAAGGCCATTATCAATGATAGGATACTACGTCATCGCGCATCTGCAAAATGCTCCCAATCGTTAATGATTCTAGTTATTGAGATGGAGCCGACTTAAAGAATGAAACTCTTATATATCGATCTGTCTTAAGTACGTGATAGTAAACCCTCTTTAGCATGCCAAGGAAAACATCTATCTTAAATAATTCAGACATCTGCACTTTTGTTATCAGTTTAAAACAATTTTAGGTCTGATAGCTGATACCGTTAACAACATTAAGTATATGAATGACAATAATTCAGTGAGAATAGAAATGTATAATTTTGGTTCAATGTCTTTACACAGAAGTCTTGCTTTTTTGTACAAGTTTAATTATTTAACTATAATTAATAAACCGTAACACCGTCCAGTTGCTCCTACAAGGCTGTCTTACGTTAAAAAATTTTCATTTCGGCTCCGGGACCTCTTTCGTGAAGCCATTTTGATTAATCATATAATCGCATGTGCTATCATTCTTCACTCCGACATTAATTTCGTTCACAGTGGTACAATGTGGTAAAGACTCTTGCAAAGGTTCTATTTGTTGTGAAATCGTGAGTCAATTTTGCTCCGTGTAAAACTATTGTGAGGACATTATATCTTATCCTATCATTTTTATTTACCTTCACTTTTGCGTGAGCTTAATACAAGGCACGCATTTTCGTCACGGTCATTTTCTTATCTGGTGCGTAAAAATCAACACTATTGTATAGATTTGGGTAAACTTGAGCATCTTCTTTTTGTTATTATTTTACCATCAATATTCACTCTTGAATGAATTAGTTTAGTGTGTAATTTTTGTTTTTGTTTGATTTGGGTTTTGCGTCACATCGACACAGAATAGGTCATTTGGCGACGTTCCAGCTTTACTGGTGGAGGAAGACCCCAGGTGCTCCTCCGTGCATTTTTTTAGGCACGAACGGCACCTGAGTAGAACCACCGACGTTCCGTAAGCTAGCTGGATAGCTTTCTCACATGAAAGAATCCAAAGTTCCTGTCGTGATTCGAACCTACAGCGATATGGGGCAAGTGGTTTGAAGTCAACGACCTTAACCACTCGGACACGGACGCCCCACAGTTTGTAGTTAATCGCTATTGCTGTCACATGTTCTATATAAGCATGATCCCGTTTTTTATCTTTTACAAGATGAAACAAATCATTTTTGATATACTTTGTACTGACATAAGGCCAGCGGTTAACCAAACACTTAATTTGTTTTTGTTGTTGTTGTTGCTGTCGTTGCTTTTTTGTGTCTATTCCCTGATTTTTTAATATTAATACAATGATATGAGGCTTGTGATATATTGAAAACAAAGTTTAAAGTAATAGTTAAGTTAAATATGTAATACATTTCAAATGAAGGTGTGTTACAGTCAAGATGGTTTGATGAAAATTCTCAATGATGCGGAATCAATTATCCAGTATGAATCTCATACAACATTTACTTTTAAATTAGTTTTGGTTGGTTTTGTAAATCTAAAATTTACTGAACCATAAGCTACTTCCTTATATAACGAATTTTATTTGAAATCATAGTGAAACGTTTATCCTACTAAATGTGATGATGATATTTACTTTTATTGATAAATGATATGTGAGAAATCTGCGTGTTGATAGTAATCATACAATTATCAAAGACTAATTGATTGATAACACGTGATTAACTCCAGGTAAATATGAGATTACTTCATTTAAATGCATACTTTTTCTCTCTTTTTTTCTAAAAAATAAAATAAAATATCTATTGATAAAAATTCTATGTTTCTTCCACTTATAATACCTCTATATTTAGCATTTGTAAATCAATTTTGAAATCGTCGCGTACCTTCAATCTTTATTTAAATAGTTAAAAGATGACTATATAACCACGTTGTCTAATTGAAAAGAAAATGTCATATAACCATGTTGTCTAATTAAAAACAAAGAGTAATATAATAATGTTGTCTAATTGAAAATCAAAGTGCTATATAACCACGTTGTCTAATTGAAATGAATGCGCAATATAACCACGTTGTCTCCTTGAAAACAAAGTGTTATATAACCACGTTATTCATTTGAAAATAAAGTAAAGTGTTATATAACCACGTTGTTTATTTGATAATAAAGTGTTAAATAACTTCGTTGTGTAACTGAAAACAAAGTGTTATATAACCATGTTGTATAATGGAAAACAAATATAAACAAAGTGCTGTATAACCACGTGTCTAATTGAAACATGACCTTTAATGTGTGTTGCGACTTCAAATCAATCATTCTGATGTTATGAATAAATATTGATGTCATTTTAGGTCTTTTTCATTCTGAACACATGAGCAAATGAACGATATAAAAATGAAGAATACTTTGCTTGGACTAGTTTTACTTTTATGTGACACAGGTATGTTTGAAACATCATTATAATCAGCATATGATTACTTTTATATTACATTCATGTTCAATTTCGTGTACTTGTATATACATTTCTAAATTGTGAGTAAAAATAATCGTGTATTTTATGCGATGATTATTTTATTTCATTAACTCTTATGTACACATTTTCTTTATTAAGCGATGGTGTATAGTATCAAATAATGTTAACTGAATGTTTGTTGCTATTACATGTTTGAAGAGAAATGATAATTCATAAATGCTTGAAGATTGTACATGTATCTCTACGCTAAAGTAAAATAATTATTATTACACTTTATTTCCCATTTTCACAAATTCTAAATATAATAGAACTTTATATATATATATATATATATATATATATATATATATACATTCACATTCATTACATGTTACTCGGTTGGTATGCGTACTTTATCATTAGATTAAAGAACTCAAAAGAAATTTACAATTTTGTCTTGACTTCCACATTTATTTATTTTCATAGACTCTATAGCACATATTGTCACCCCGCAGATTGTTCTTGTGAGAAAAGTATTTCAATACTTTGATTTTTGATCAGAGTCTTTATCAGATGTTTTTGAAAAATTTAATTAAGTCAAAATAGATTTGGTATCAAATTATTTGAAGTGTTATACACCGTTGTTTAGAAGCAGTAACATTTTAGTAATTTTCACTGTTTCCTTTATATCTTTAAGTTCTAGCATTCAATGAATGTGGCAGATGTAACTGTTGCATAAATGGAACCTCAAGATGTGAATAAAGCAATAATGAAGACGGTGTTTGCTTGGATGGTTGTATTGACGGATATTATACTTACAGTTGTAATACATGCTTGTAGTAACAATTGTCTAACATGTTCTGGTGTAAGCAGTTGTAACACGTGCAAAAATGGCTACTATATTGGCTATAATGTGGATAATAATCAATATACAGACGATTGTAGTTTATCGTGTCCGGACAACTGCATTTCATGCACTTCATATTATAACTGTAGCAAATGCAATGATGGATATTACAATGGTAGACATTACCCATCAAGCAATGCTGTAACCTACCATTGTCAACATAAATGTAGAGATAATTGTATATCATGTACATCATACGATAATTGTACACAATGTAAAAATGGGTTTACAGGTGATCTATGTGATAGATGTATCGATGGTAAGTTCGGGAATCTCTGTGACCAAAACTGTCCCCTTACCTGTTTAGCATGTTCTTCATTGACAAACTGTTCTAAATGTATTGGAAAGCACTGGGGAAACAGTTGTCAACAATGTCCCGCAAACTGCTTAAATTGCTCTTCCAGTAGCACTTGCTCATCATGTGACAAAGGATTTCATGGACAAATATGTAATAAACAATGCAATGTTAACTGTCTTGATGGTCGCTGTGACCAACTGACTGGAAACTGCAATGACGGATGTGTAGCTGGCTTTTACGGAAACTTTTGTGATATGAAATGCAGCAATGACTGTGTGAATTTAACATGTGACAGAGTACATGGGACCTGCAAGACAGGATACAACGGTAAAATATTTTCTATTCAATAAACAGTATAACATCTTACACAAACTAACACATTAAGCAAGCAAGTAAGTGAATGATTCAATAAGAATAATTTATGGTAAAAGTAATTATAACAATTTTACCGAATAAAACATCAATAACAGTAGTAATAACAAAAAATATTTATTTTCAATTTGAAATAAAGATATTCTTTTAAAAAATAGAGCAAAAGTATCAATGTCTTATATTGTTTCAGTAACATTTCAAACATTTATTGATATCAATAAATGAATTATAGACCATATACCTATACTATAATATAAATTTATATCAGGTCTGTCTCCTTTGTTGGATAAGATGTACTGAATGTTATTACCGAAGCGTCCTGGTGCCAATTTAACATGTTCTTTAAAAAAGATAAATCCTACGTAGGACTTTGTAATTCCTACGTAGGGCTTTATAACTCCTACGTAGGAGATAAAAAAGCCTAATCAGTAGTTTATAGCTCCTACGTAGGACTTTGTTAGTCCTACGTAGGACTTTATTAGTCCTACGTAAGACTTAATAACTCGGAGGAGATATTAAAACCTAATTAGGATTTTCAAGTCCTACGTAGGACTTACAAACTCCTACGTAGGATTTTATAACCCCTACGTTGGAGTTTAAAAAGCCTCATTAGGAGTTTATTATACACATGTAGAAAAAATAAGTTAACAAAAGAATTGAAGACATCGCACATTTTCATATGTTATGTATTTTATCGTTTTATTTAATACAACAGCTATAAATTCGGCGACTGGAAATGAAGACGCTAACGGAATAATAATAGGTGCTGCTGTAGGTGGTGTCATTATCCTGATTATAATAGTGGTACTTGTTGCTGCTGTGGTCCTCCTGGCAAGAAGGTAAAATACCAGAACAATAATACATTCAATTAAATAAATATACATTTTAATTAGATAGATCGAAAAATTGAATTATCCTCAGCATCGAATGCAATAGGATGTTACAACATGTGACGTAATGCCTGATTGGCTTTGAAATTTATCAGTTGGAAAATTTTGAAAATTTCTTCAATATCCTGTTTGTTTTGAAAATTGTTGAAGCAATTGAAATTTCTAAAAATGTTACACAGTATGCAGTCTATTAAATTACATGTTGAACGAATAAATTCTTGAGGGCATTCACTATTTGCACCTGTAAGTTATTGAAGTAAAATTTATCATGTCATATTTACTGACGTTAACTTTTACGTTAGTAAAAATGTGTGTATCAAAACTACAAATAAGTATAAAAAAACAGGGAACGGGAAATCGGCTTGGATTACACGATATCTGCGGAATATCGACACTTTATAACGACGCATCTTGTTTCAGAAACTTGTGAATAAGATGACAGCATATAGTTATTAAAATATCTCAATCACATTTACTTTGCATCACATCGAATTTTATCAAATATTATCTTTAAAATACAAAATGTTTATTCACAAATGAATAATATATCATGCGCTTGCATAAAAGATGTTCTTATATAATGATGAAAGTTTTTAGACAAATTCTAAAATTTGAAACCGAGTCTGCAATTCTTATGTAATTTTGTTCTGATTAATGTTTCCGAGGAATCACTTTGTTTCCAGATTTTTATACTTCACAACAGCGGGTGTCAAGAGCCCCGTACTTAACTTCAGTGTTGTTAAATTTTTGCTGGTCCTTCGGGATCATTGTGTAAATTTAACGAGAAAGCAAATATATAAAGCTTCAATTGAAGTCAATTATTGTTAATCAACACTATCATGTGAAATGATTTATAAATGTTTAGGACACTTTTAAATGGTAGTGAACTTTGCCACAATCCTGGTGGTGCAAATATTAATCCGGGTCTGTTTATATAAAAAAAGAGAGATTTGCCTAGTATACATTATGCAGAAAACTATTGTTATTCTTTATTAATTTTGTAGACTCAAAAGATTAGAGAATAGCAACACTGCTTTGACATCCAATACAGACTTGAGCTACTACAATATTAATAATGCCTTTGTTGGAGGTAAGTTGTTTATATAGCTTCTTTTGTTTCTTCTGAATTACACAAAGAAATCTTCTTTTGATCATTGTATCTTAATTTTGAATCATAAATTTGTTTAATTATAGTTTACATGTCAAACAAATAAAATGCAATGCACGAAATTTTCAACAGATGTATAGGTACGGAGGGAAATTAACCGTAGAATCGCAGTATATTCAGCAAAGTTTTTAAGAAAGACATCAACATAAAGGCATATATCTACTGAACATTATAAAATTTAAACGAAGAAAATCGAATGAGAATTAATAAAAGCATACATATAGATAAAAAGACGCAATTCTGCCGCCGCCGATAGGGGGCGCTTTTGGGTCATATTAACGCTCTTTCTTTACAAAATAAAGCTGCGGAATTAAAACCTACCTATCAACATGTTTGCATATCAATAATAAAGATCTGAGATGTTGTCCAATTTTGATCGGAAAGTAGCGAGTTACCTTTCGACATACATATATTTTTGTGATACAGCTCGATTGCTATGGAAAGCCAACGTTTCATCATATAGTTTATATCTTGGTTAAATTTGGGTACGATTTGTATCAAACTATAGTAAAAAATATGTTAACTTAGATTACATTCTAAATTGAATTTAAAAGTGTGCAGAATGTGCTTTTATGAACGGAAACTTAAACAGATTGTAACTATTGCAGCCACTACCGACACGAGACAAGCTGACAGTAACCAACCTACAACTGTCTATGATACCGACATAGACACGAGACCAGCTGACCTTAACCAACCTACATCTGTTTATGAAAGTCTAACAGCTACCGGTGTAAACCGGTTCGCTGAATATAGTTCTCTACAGCTACAGGTAATATTTCTAAAAGTTTACGATTAAACACATTCTGTTAGCTGATTTTAGTTCTTTGAAGTTATAGCTATGTTTTGATAAAAAGGATAGATCATGTAAATAACAGTCAATAAATCATTTAGTCTTTTCATCAATTGTACTTGCGAGCATAATGCTAATTGAAAATTAAAGGTATATTTTGATAAAAAGGATAGATCATGTAAATAACATTCAATAAATCGTTTAGTCTTTTTATCAACTGTGCATGCGAGCATACGTGTAATTGAAACTAGTAACGAAACTTAAGAACTTTCTCAGTCTCTTTATTAGTATATAATTGTATTCCACTTTCCTTACATGGAATATCTCTATTTTTTGTTTTACAAGGATGTGCAAACATTAGAATTGCCGAATGATTACACAGTCAAATTAGATCCTGGAGTCCAATACTAAAATGTATCGGCAAAATAAAGAAGTATTTTGTAATGTTTTGAATGGAAAACAAATGTTAACAAATTGACAAAGAAAGAAAAACAGCAAAAGAAACAAAAGAAACCCCCAAAACAACAGCAACAACAACAAACTTAAAGATGGTCTCCAGGATTACTTTGCGGATTGTTTTTGAATTTGTAAATAATATTTCAGGAACAGAAAAATATAACAACATCAATTTTGTAAACGAAAAGATCACCTTTGAGATTTTTCAGGATTTTCCTCTAAAGTGTAACAGCAAAGTTTGATTTCTCTACGGAAAGTCTCTATTGTTAATTTTCGTAGCCATTGCCGAGGTACTCTTCATTTGAAGATGAACAGTAAAAAGCACGTGTCATGTTTCTAAAATGTACTTGAGGTTTTCGGGTCGTTTCACAATTATTTTGCAATACTTTATCTGTAAAATGTAACAGTTAAATTGCGATGCATGAAGCAAAACTTCAAATAACATTAATGATAAGAAACAAGAACATCGAGAATGGCCAGTTTCTATGTAGTTCCGTAAATCTGTTTTTCTAGAAAAAAATCCCGAAATCACTGCATAATAATGCAATAGTTAATGATTCTAGTTATTGAGATGGAGCCGACTTAAAGAATGACAACTCTTATATATCGATCTGTCTTAAGTACGTGACAGTTAATCCACTTTAGCATGTCAAGGAAAACATCTATCTTAAATAATTGAGACATCTGCACTTTTGTTATCAGCTTGATACAATTTCTGATAGCTAACACATTTACCGTTAACGACATTAAGTATATAAATGATAATAATTCAGTCATAACATAATTGTATAATTTGGGCTCAATGTCGGTACACAGAAATCTTGCTTAAGTGTACAAGTTTAATTATTTTACTATAATTAATAAACCGTAACACACTCCAGGTGCTCATACATGGCTGTCTTACGTTAAAAAATGTTTTCATTTCGGCTCCGGGACCTCTTTCGTGAAGCCATTTTGATTAATCACATAATCGCATGTGCTATCATTCTTCACTCCGACATTAATTTCGTTCACAGGGGTACAATGTGGTAAAGACTCTTGCAAAGGTTCTATTTGTTGTGAAATCGTGAGTCAATTTTGCTCCGTGTAAAACTATTGTGAGGACATTATATCTTATCCTATTATCTTTATTTACCTTCACTTTTGCGTGAGCTTAATACAAGGCACGCATTTTTGTCACGGTCATTTTCTTACCTGGTGCGTAAAAATCAACATTATTGTATAGATTTGGGTAAGCTTGAGTTAAAAGCGTAATCATCTTCTTTTTGTTATTATTTTATTATTCACTCTTGAAATGTTCAGTGTGTAGTTTTTGTTTTTGTTTGATTTGGGTTTTACGTCACACCGACACAGTATAGGTCATTTGGCGACGTTCCAGCTTTACTGGTGGAGGAAGACCTCAGGTGCCCCTCCGTGCATTTTTTCAGGCACGAACGGGCACCTGAGTAGGACCACCGACGTTCCGTAAGATAGCTGGATAGCTTCCTCACATGAACGAATCCAAAGTCCCTGTCATGATTCGAACCCACAGCGGTGAGGGGCAAGGGGTTTGAAGTCAATGACCTTAACCACTCGGCCACGGACGCCCCCAGAGTGTAGTGAATCGATATTGCTGTAATATATACTATATGAGCATGATCCCCGTTTTTTCTTTTAAAAGATGAAACAAATCAGTTTTGATATACTTTATACTAACAAAAGGCCAGCGGTTAACCAAACACTTAATTTGTTGTTTTTTGTTGTTGTTGTTGTTGCTCTTTTGTCTTTTTCCCCTGACTTTTTAATATTAATACAATGATATGAGGCTTGTGATATATTGAAAACATGTGAAAGGTAATAGTAAAGTTAAACATAAAATACTTTTCAAATGAAGGTGTGTTCAAGTCAAGATGATTTCATGAAAATTCTCAATGGTGCGGAATCAATTATCCAGTATGAATCTCATACAACATTTACTTTTAGATTAGTTTTGGTTGGTTTTGTAAATCTTTAATTTACTGAATCATAAGCTACTTCCTTATTTAACGAATTCTATTTGAAATCATAGCGGAACGTTTGTCCCACTAAATGTGGTGATGATACTTTCTTATAATGATCAATGATATATGACAAATCTGAGTGTTGACAGTAAACATACAATTATCAAAGACTAATTGATTGATTACACGTGATTAATTCCAGGTAAATATGAGATTACTACATTTAAATGCATACTTTTTCTCTCTTTTTTTCTAAATAATAAAATAAAATATTTATTGATATGAAATTCTATGTTTCTTCCACTTATAATACCTCTACATTTAGCATTTGTAAATCAGTTTCGAAATCGTCGCGTACCTTCAGTCTTTATTTAAATTGTTAAAAGATGTCTATATAACCACGTTTTTTATTTCTAATTGAAAAGAATGTGCTATATAACCACGTTGTCTCATTGAAAACAAAGTGTTGTATAACCACGTTGTCTAATTAAAAAAAAAAGAGTAATATAATAATTTTGTCTAATTGAAAAACAAAGTACTATATAACCGAGTTGTCTAATTGAAAAGAATGTGCTATATAACCACGTTGTCTCATTGAAAACAAATTGTTATATAACCACTTTGTCTAATTCAAACCAAAGTGTTATATAAACACGTTGTTTATTTGAAATTAAAGTGTTATGTAACCACGATGTTTATTTGAAAACAAAGTGTTATATAACCACGTTGTCTAATTTGTCGAAAATGTCATATAACCACGTTGTTTATTTAAAACAAAGTGTTAAATAACTACGTTGTGTAACTGAAAACAAAGTGTTATATAACCACAATGTCTAACTGAAAACAAAGTGTTATATAAACACGTTGTGTAACTGATAACAAAGTGTTATATACCCACGTTGTCTTATGGAAAACAAATGATTATATAAACACGTGTCAAATTATAAACAAAGTGCTATATAACCACGTGTCTAATTGAAACATGGCATGTTATGTATGTTGCGACTTCAGTTCAATCAGTTTCATGTTATGGATAAAGATTTATCTCATTTAAGGACTTATTTTTTCACTCTGAACACATGAGCAAATGAATGTTGGAGATATAAAAATGAAGAATACTTTGCTGGGACTAGTTTTACTTTTATGTGACACAGGTATGTTTTAAACATTATTATAATCAGCATATGACTACTTTCATATTAAATACATCACAACATACAGGTTCACTTTTGTGTATAAACATTTTTAATTATAAGTTAAACGTAATCACGTGTTTTAAATAAATTAACACTTGCGATGATTATTTTGTTTCATTTAACTCTTATGTACACATTTAGTATTGAGCAATGGTGTATAATATCAAATAAAAATGTTTTGTAACTATGACATGCATGAAGAGAAATGATAATGCATTTTCGACTGAACACTTGAAGATTGTATATGTATATCTACGCTAAAGTTAAATAACTATTATTACACTTTATTTCCCATTTTCACAAATTTAAGAATAACAGAAAAAATTATTATTATATAATTATATACAATCACATTCATTACATGTTACTCGGTCTGTATGCGTACTTTATCATTAGATTAAAGAACTCCATTAAAAGCTTGCACTCACCACTCCCTGCATATTTTTTTGTTCATTTACAATTTTATCTTGACTTCCACATTTATTTATTTTCATAGTA